CAACGTTTTTGTAATTGGCTTTTGGAACAAAACCGACAAAATTCGCAGTTTTTACAACACATTTTATGGACCGACGAAGCAAATTTCAGTAGAGATGGATTTTTCAATTTCAAAATTTACTGGACAATCTGCCACTAGCCGCCGTTCAAAATCTCTGGCTCCACATGGACGGGGCTTCAGCCCATTTTGCTGCTCCGATAAGAGCTTGGCTTAATCATGAATACGCAGACAAATGGATAGGCCGAAATGGACCAGTAAACTGGCCACCAAGACCCCCTGACCTGACTCCGATGGATTTCTTCTTCTGGGGGCACATTAAATCTCTTGTGTACCGAACACCAGTACAAAATGAGCAGGAGTTAGTAACTCGAATACGGGAATCTGCACAAAATGTGAGTCCAGGAATGTTACGCAGAGTGCACAATAACATGATTAAACGAGCACAAACATGTTTGGAGTTAAATGGGCAGAAATTCGAACACCTCTTGTGAGTTGTCCACATTTCAAAACGGTTCTTTTCAGAACCACAGATTCATATCTAAGAATTTCATTTCACCAGCAAGCACTGAAATGGTTCTCGTGTTATTTTAGTTAGGTTATTGACTTTTTTTATTGATTGTAATAGGTTCTTCACTTAACGTAGGTTGGTATCATTACGCTATAACTTTTTATTGGAGGTATTGTTGAAATCGTTAAAAATGAAAAAATCCTTGTTGAAATTTGACACAAGATCATGGCAGCTGAAAAATAGGTATAAAACCTTCTTAAATATTGTTTAAATTTTCTCTAACAAATAATACTTAATAATTTTCAAATTATAAAGTCGCGCCTAATTTAAAAAATATTCTTATTTAGTTCAAATAGTTTTATGTTTTGCACCGTTTATTTATGTTGTTTGTTTGCAAATTTGCAATATTTGTTAATAACCAAAAGTTATTCGCAAATTAGTACTCTCAAATGACGTCATCACTAGTATAAAATATTAATTTCCGGACAGACTAATTGACAGGAAAGGAAAATTTTTGACTGGGTCTCCTGACCACAATGAAATATTGTTATTGTCACTTTCGCTTTTAATGTTTATCCATGGTTACTGGAGTTCTTAATAATTACGAAGGAACAGGTATTTATGTAATGTTAATTAGGCAGATTACCTTAAAAAGCATCGATGCCGTAATTCCCATCTAGTTTTTTGCAAATATCTCAGTTTTTACTGGGAGTCAATTTTTTTTACTGTTTTTCCTGTACTCCCTAAACACCCCCAGACAACACCCTCAGAGGAATGACGCCAATTTCGAATCACCCTGTAGATCAGCTTTTCGTCTTGAGACAATTTCTAGAGCAAGGATGGGAATTCAATAGGACCATACATAACCTTTCTATAGATTTCAGACAAGCGTATGACAGCGTGGAAAGCAATGGCAGAACTCTCAATCCCAAGGAAACTCATTCAGATGACAAAAGTGTGTATGGACGGTAGTAGATCCAAGGTACAAGTAGGCAGCCAACTATATGAACAGTTCGAAATACAAAACGGGCTTAAACAGGGAGATGCCTTGTCACCAATGTTGTTTAACATCGTCGGAAACAGCCATAAGACCGGCGGACATAAAAACCGAACTTCTATCAACTGAAGGCCCCAAACTAATACTGGCTTATGCAGATGACATTCACCTGATCGGTAACACTATTCTGAGGGCGAAAGAAATATTCATTAAAATAGAAGGAACAACTAGCAAAATGGGCCTAATGATAAATGAAGAAAACACTAAATACATGTGTGTAAACCGACTCGACAGAAGAGACAGAATAGGACAAAACGTATCAATAGACACGTACAACTTTGAAAGAGTGGAACGTTTCAAATATTTAGGCGCAACAATCACCGAAGAAATAAAATGAAGCATCCAAGTCACAAATCGATGTCAATACTCCCTAAACAATCTCCTTAAGTCAAAAAACCTGACACGGATATCCAAAGTAAAAATGTATAAGAGTCTTATTAGACCTATGGATGTGAAACGTGGACAATGACTAAAGCGAACTAAACTCAGACGATTCGAACGCAAGATGCTGAGAAAAATCTTGGGACCTTATTACGACCCTAATTCAACTTAGTATCGAATTAGAACTAATGTTGAAATCAAACGAATATATAATGACAGTGACATCGTCCAGGAAATAAAATCTCAATGTTTGAGATGGGCCGGCCACATACAGAGACTCCACGAAGAGATATTGGTGAAACTGATATGGGAAGAGACTTCAGCAGGTTAAATACTTTTTGGCCGCCCCCGCATGCGATGGAGAGAGAACATCCAAAACGACCTGCTGAAAATGAGCGATCCTTTCGATATAGATCTGATGAAAGATCGAGAATACTGGAAGAAAGTAGTACAGTCAGCTAAGATCCACCCGGGGTTGTAGAGCTAACCGAAGAAGAAGAAGAAGAAATGAGGACTCTGAAAATGACGAATCTGATAATGACTTTGAAGAATTAGATTCTCTTGACATATGATTATAAATTACCTGTTCCTGAATTATTGGATGATTATAAAAATATTATTTGTAAAGAAAGGAAGATTAGCAAATATTTTAGAAGATCCCCTGTCCAGAATAGCATTCTTCAGAATCACGTGAAACTGAAATACGAGAAAGAATATAATCTTATTCTTGATCGTAAAACAAGATGGAATAGTTTAGAGGCCATGTTAGAAAGATTTGTACACCTAAAAGAAGGTGTTGTTTTAACTCTGAATGACCTTAATGCTTCTCATATGTGGAATGAAGATAAAGAAAAATATTACAAAGTTGTAGAACTCCTTAAAGTTTTAGGTTCGATAAAATGGTCGTCGTCGTTTGTAAGTCGAAGCTTTAGGTTGACAAGGCGCAAATTTATTAATAAGTGAAGGTATATTTAAATTTTTTCTGGGTGAAGTACAAAATTTGAAGTCCGAAATCAGTCAGAAATTATTACACGCTATAAAGGCACAGATTGAAGAAAGAAGAGATACAGTATTAGTTACACTTATCCTTTATCAACAAAATTCTCAAACTGTTTTAACGAAATTTTCTAATAAATTCGTTCCATTAGCAACGAAACGTGACATTATTAAGTTATCCGGACAAATATTATCAAGATTATATAAAGATTACTCGACGGGGGAAGAATGTGATATTCAAAAACGTGATGAAAGCGATATTCAAGAGCCAGTCAATGTTTTATTGCAAAATGCTATGGAAGGTGCAATTAATAAAAATTTAAAGGAACCGGAAGAAGTGACTTCCTCTACTCAAACTTTAAGAAAAGAGTTTTTGGCCCTGGAAGCCACAAATAAAAGGACAAAAAATTCAGAATTATTATCATCTTTAAAATCAGGCTTAGAAAACGATTAAGCCTAGTTCGGTTGCAAGTGAGAGGGTATTTTCTATTCCTTGTCTTTCGGTTTTGATTGTAATTTACATTATATAATACACATCTATATTTTTTCTAATTGTTTTTAATAAGTATCCTTCTGTATCTAATAATATTGTTAAAAGAAAATCATATGGTTATTATAAAAATATGAAAATATATTGTTATTTTCTTTCGAACCCTTTGCTGAATAACTCGTTTCACTATTATAAAAATATTACTATTATCATTATATGTGAAAATTATGCATAAACAACGAATAGTTGTTTTTAAAGTCATTAAATCCTGGTAAACTATTATTTCTTTGTTCTACTAAATTGCATAAAAAAAATGTACGAACGGACAATTTGGGCCAGACTGATCCTCTCTCCAGATTAATTAGTCAAGTCAAGAACGAAGTAGCGGACTCAGAGACGGACGAAGTTATCGCAGCAATCAAGGTAAACGAACTTGATTGACATTAATTGGCGTCATAATCACTGGGTACGAGTAAAGCTAGAAAACATATCACTTTTGCAACTCGCAAGGATTTGGTGCTGTCAGAAGTCATGGACCAAATTGAGAAGGGTTGGAAAACAACCGACAAGAAAGACACCCAGCTCAAGCATTTGCATTGAATGCGAACTCAATTTCTCTAGTGAAAGGAAAGTTACTTTTCAACGACCCCGTGGTTATTCCCAAGTCCAAAAAAAATAACATCTTAACTGAGTTGCATCGAGCACATCCTGGAATTCGCCGTATAAAAGGGCTCGCGCGAGTCTATTTCTACTGGCTAAACATGTGCAGTGACATAGAAAATGTTGGAAAATAATCTCGACATTGCTCGCAAACGCCCAACAACCTGTGAAAGTTCCATTATGCCCCTGGCCTGATACGAAGAAACCTTGGTCAAGGATTCGTATGGATCTTGGTGAACCGCAAAGAGGAAATGCTTTTCTTATTGTTGTGGATAGTAATTCCAAATATGTCGACTATTGTTGGTTAAAACCAACTAGCGTGCATAAAATTATAAAATATTTGCATCAATTGTTTCGTCATCTTCGTCCTCCAGATGCAATCGTAATGTCAATAACAGTCAGTTCACATCGAATTTGGAATTGACTGAACTCTGAGAGCATTTCAAAATTGTGCATCACATTGTGCTGCATCATCATCGTTCTGCTTCTAGAATGCTACACAGTAATGGTCAAGTTGAAAATGGTGCACACGATTAGGAAATCTATTAAAAATGACTGTTGAAACTATACATCCCATAGTGTTTTGGATGGTAAATCACCAAGTCAGGTCATGTTTGCTCGTAAACCTCGAACTCCGTTTGACATTTTTAAACCATGTAATTCTGTAAATGAACTAATGTGTTGTTTAAAAACATTTCGATCGCCATCATGGAACCAAAGCTCGAAATTTTGTGCTTAAGGAGAAAGTAACCGTTGAAACTTGGAATGGAAACCCCTTCGATTGAACAATTGATGAGTTGATTGGTCAACATATGCCAAAGTTAAGATTTATAATGACGTTATAGTTGATCATTATAGCCAGATACGAAAAAGCGCTACGCTATGTTGATCTTCGTCTGCCAGATAAATTACCAAATTGCGATGATTTCATCGAAATCGAAATGAGTTCAACCTCTGGTACAAGTGTGCACCTATAACAGCACAAAGTGCTTCGTTCCAATTTGAATTTTTAAGTGATAGGTTCATACTTAATGATTTTCGCGTCGGTGTAGTTTGGGTTAATTTCAGGATAAATGGGGTTAGTGGTTCAGGATAAATGGCGTTAAAGTTTGATATTTATATGAACTGAAAACGAGACTAACCCAAACTGAGTGAAACTGAAGGAAGCTCTGAAAATAAAAACTTTGCTGAGAATCTACAAAACATTGCACTTTCCATTGGCATCAAACGTTTTTTCATGAAGTTATTTATAGACGGTGCAATTACTTTTATTATCACCGAAACTGTTTAATCTCAAGCCTTCTTTAAATTTAAAAAGCAAACATTTTCCAACTCGGCCGGGCATAAATCACTTAAAATGTGTACGAAATTGCCTATAATTTGCGACCACTATATTTTTACACTCTATGCGCTTACCTTGTGTTGCTGTTATAAACTCTAATTCATTCCTGAATACGTCTATCTTAAGTGTGCAACATCGTTCCAAAGTTTTAACAGTTTTGCTTCTTGAAACTAGGAACGCCACATATTTTTGTCGAGTCTGCAGTTCGTTCACCAGTGACTCAAAACACTGCAAACAATKTAATATGTATACACAGGGTAAATTCAAAGAACGGAACTTATTAAAAAATACATGAAATAAATAAAAAACGATAAAAGAACAAAACATTGCTCAGACACGTCAAATGTAGTTTCTACGCATGAGTAAAACAATTTCTCGTRACGTCATTAATATTATAGATATAGCGTCGTACTTTGTTGTTTTAACAGTAACYTTAGTTGTCATTTGATAGATCGAATRATTGCTCAYAGAGAACGACAAAAATTCAAATAGGTTACAAAACKRTTTTTCMAAATATGATGTTCTATCAATAACATATTYACATTTRAAACCGATATTTTYCTCATTCTATTTGGATTATAGGAAGCGGGTAGATACTCTTTTGTGATGGCGGCAGAAGATAGATCTACATCAAGAATAGCCAACCTGCCTACGCTAGCCCATGGATTTCCCTAACTACCTCAACCCATGGGAACCATGTCCTAATCTAAATCACTCTCAGCTATATCCTTCTCTCCCTTCATACTCTGTCCAACGCGCCACCATGCACTAGCCGAGCGTGGGATTTTACATACACGGTAAGAACATGCATTGGGTGCATTTCATCTGAAAGATAATAATACCTTTCCTGCTGTATAATCTAACTCAAAGATTCTGTTGCAATCGAGTAGAATAATATGGATATTCCGGCCCTCATCCAAACAGTAATTCAATATTTTCTCTCTGCTATGTTCAGCTGAGGAAAAGAATACTGATGACGTAAATGTAACTCGTAGATACGATTGTCCGACGTTTATCTGCAAATAAAACAGACACTCACCAGAAAACATTAAGTGCATTTATTTACTAAAATACGACATACACACATTTTTTTAAAATATAACTAATTAGTTACCTTTATCACTTTATCAACTTTTAAAATAATATTGAAGACTATACCGGTTCCATATTTGGAGCTTAAACTAGTATCTGTATAAGTATCTGCCAAACCAAAGCTACACAAGTTCTGAAAATTTAAATTCAAGGTTCTGATGTTGGGCTAAATCATCTAAAATATTTGCAAGTCAGTACCACTTCCGGTTATACCGGAATTCTCTTGTCGGATTTTTAGGTCGTATTGTACAACATATTTTAATTGTAAATTGGTGTTTGTAGTTTGCTTTGAATTTTAAATCTGATGTTGTCTCGCCGAAACCTAACATRAAATAAACGATATGAACATTTTTATTTCACATTATGTCTGAAACCCAGCAGGAAAAAACATATATATAAAAAAAGTCATGRAACRTTAAAGTKGACTGTCAAGAAAGGCATATTACTCAAAAAWTCMAATRAAAACTCTTWTTTTTTCCTATTCAGATCGATTTAGTGACTAAAATTCAGACAAGTTTCTAAACGGGTTTATGTAGCTAAACGGAACAGTTTCATAGTTATTTTCAAAAACTCTCAATTTACTATAAATTGTTATTACTTATTTATTAGTCGTTTAATTTTTAATTACAACAAATGTTCAAAATGTTGCCCGTTAGAGGCAAGGAATTGTTGAATACGCCTTTTAACAGCTCTATGAATCTCTTCGGGAGAAAGAGAGTTGAAGGCATTTCGCACCCTGGCAATGCAATCGTACTTGGACGATAATAGTGTAGCATATACAAGATCTTTACTTCGACCCCAAAACTAAAAATCCATGAGTGTAAGGTCAGGTCACCTAGGTGGCCATTGAAAGAGACCGTTATTGGCAAACCAACGATTTTGAAAAATTTCGTAAAGTTTCATGGAAACAACATTGTTGCTCTGAGGGGGCACACGATCTTTCTTGTTGGTACCATAAAATGTCCCGTTCTACATTATTTCTCTTAAAAATTTGTCATATAATATAAATAATATTTCTCATATAAATTAGTTTCACAGACGTCTCAAGAAATCGGCTTCTTTCAAATGTTGAACTAGTTGCAAACAGTATGGTCTAAATTTATGTTTTTTAGGAATTCTCCTGATGGTCGCTGGGATCGCTGGGGTCGATGGGAAACCAATCCTAATTTTACTCAAACTGACAAGTATGCATGACAATTGACACTCATGATGTATACAGGGTTATTCACGCTAGACGGCACGGAAGTTTGCGGCTAAACCGTTTGATTTTAAAAAAGTATTATTTTATGAATTGTCCGACGCCTACCGAGCGCACATTTTAAAAATATTTTTGTAATGTAGAGGGTGTCCCAAAAGCTCAAAAGGTATCAAAGTTGCGTTTTTTTAAATGGAATGTCCTGTATATTATTGCACTTTTGGATTCGCTGAACAAAATAAGTGTCTGTTTTAATAAGGTTTATAATACCTAAATCTTAAGGTTTTTT